CCACATCTTGAACTTATGGGTCCCTGCTTTTAATTCTCGAATTTACCAATGACTGCATCTCAATTATTGAGTTGCTCCTCATTCAAGTGTTCTAGGGCGGTGGTGTACAAACTGTGGGGCATGCTTCCCAAGGGGGGAGGAACACAATAATGACTATAGGAGCATATAAATTATATCTGAAAGTACAAATTTAAAAAGAAAAACTACTCTGCAAATATTACTATTAAATAGTATAGCAACCAAGCTGGTTGTTTGTTGTTAAGCACATAGACTGTGTTCTGTCTTCCACAGGTATCAAAACCTGATTTTTTTTTAGTAAAGGTTAATTACACAGTAAAAATTTTAATAGAGGCCACATAGCCGAAAATTTTGTTATTTTACTCTCTTATTTTTCATCATGTAATTAACCTCTTATATAAATAAATAGTTTTGTATTTGAACAGTGTTGCGCAAACTAGCAACATTAATCTCACTCTACGTATGGGAAATCTAATACATTAGTTTTCTGGGTAGTGGCTGTCCTTGCTTTTTACCGGCAATAATTTGAAATCTGAAAATTACAAAATTGATTTTTTCCCTTAGTTCATAAGTGGAACAGAGTTGACAGGTGAGGCTTTTCGTCCATGAACCTGTTTAATTAATATTTCATCCCTCTTCACTTACCTAATTAAACCTCCATTGTATTTATTATATTTGTGTTATTTTTCCGCTAGCTAGATTTCATTAATTCAATATAAAATAATAGTTAATGCCATTACACATCACAAGTGCAATAATATTTTTTTATTTTATTAGAAGCAACATTCAAATACCCAGTCACCAATATCTCTCTCTTAATTAGGGTGCAAAAATGCATTACATATTGTAAACTGGAAGCCCTATTTAATATATTATGTTTATAAACCAATGATATTGGAATTTAACCCATAGTTATAGTTGCATTCCATACACAAAGCTACGTGACTTTTGATTGGATGGCCGAGATATCGTGAGACTTCGTTTTACACATTTGTCAGCTTGTTTTAAGTTTTGGACATTAGTGGTTATCACTATTGTGACCTAGCCTTGTTATTCTCTACTCTTACATATGGGAGATAATTAGAAAAGACAAACTACTGTAACAATTGGGACTTCTAATGTTAACCCTTCACCATCTCATTCCAAATGTTGTGCCCCAGTCTTTACTTCAGTTTCCACTATAAATTTTATGCACTTTAAAAAGTACTTTTTTAATGATCATGAATTGCAAACCTTATTGTAACCATAAAGTCAAACAGGACAGTGATGCACATGATGATAAATTTATACTTAATCTGTGGTAAGTTCAAGGATAGCTGGAACCGACAAACAAGTCCCAAGTATCACAACAATTGGAGGATTAAAATAACTTATTTACAGGAAAAGAAAATTAATAACAAACACCAAGATTATTGATGCTGGATAAAAAAAATAGACATTTTCATCTAAATTACATATCACTAATCTTAAGACATAATTTTTGAGTAAATTTCCTAAGTCACCATAACCAAAACGTTACCCACTTCCAATCAATTAATTTTCTTCTTTCATTTCAACAACTTTAAACAGTTGAGAACATTATTATTTTCCCTGTAAAAAGAATATAATTTTTATAGCTTATTTTCCAATCTCTATGAATATTCATTTGATTCTTAAATATTATTACAAATTATAAGTTCTGTTTAAAAAATGTATTTTCTTCAATTTTGGGAGTAATTATAGATTGGGATAACAAATGTCAATTCTGGAAGAAAAACAGCTTTTCCACATATAATGAAAAGGATAATTGTGGGCTGAGTATTATATTTCAAAGAAAAATATTTCATTGTTTCTTCTAGTTAGAAATATTTCTATATAACATTGTTTATGATTAAGAATTGTTTGTAGTAGTAATAAATTCAGGCATCAGAATGAGCATGACTGCTGTAAATGGTGTAAAACTAAGACTGACAAGAGAAACTGAGTTAATTATTGATTGTTATGCAATTAACCAATGTAATGTTAAGTGTGAACTTCATCAAAATACTAATTATTACATTATTAATTACTAAACATTAACAAATAAAAATTACCTTATAACATACATTTAGATCCAACAGGATGAGTAACTGGTGTGTGTTGAAAGCTATAAAGTACTTTCAGTGAGATACCAATTTTCATGGTGTAGGAATTTGACTGTCACTTTTGTTTAAATATTAAAATATAACTTCACTCCAACAAACTGGGATTGTTTTAATTGAAAAATTAGGAACTAAAACTAAAAGCTAATTTCTGAAACAATCATAAGAAAAAAAAGCATGAACACAATAAAATCAAACTTCTTTTACAGACTCCACAAGTTTTACATCTTTGAATTTCAAACAAATATACTTGTTCTGCTAAAATGATGAATCTGTTTATTAGAGAGAAAAAAAGTCACAGTTATCCCAATCATCTTCTACAAAGGGTTAAGTATGTCATATTAAACCAATTTTGAAAATGCAAATAAGTAGTCACATGACAACTACAGCAGATATAAAGTCACAATTGAACAGAATATATGAGAACTACATTTTAACACTGTCATTTCATTGGTAGTATGATGCCACTAAACAATAATCACTTTTGGGAAGAGAATGTAACAGTCATTTCTGATGCAAACTTTCATATACTAAGGACATTAAGACATGTTCAGATCAGGGATTTGGAACTTCCAAAACTGGGATATCTTTTTTACTGAACAGCATTGAAAAACTAAGGAATATGGATTAACCTGGAGCACCAGGATCATCCAGAAAGAGACCAGCAACAAATCATAACACAGCTGTGGTCAGGAAAGTGTAGCATCCCATAACAGGTGAGAATTCACAAACACAAATGATAGTGACAAAATACACCCACATGCTCTATGCAGCATAATCATGAAAGATCTTGTCTGGAAAAGCAACACAAGTCACATGTACACAAGTTGCTTCCATGCCGTATCCAGAAAAGGAAAACCAACTGCAGAAAAACGTATAAATGCAACCTAGCCTGGAAATATGGCTGTACCTGGTAATACTCAATGAAATGTGTGTGTGCCTTGATAACTGTAACAAGTCTTGTAGATTTTTCAACTGGTAAATGGATGAAAATTTTTTCAAAAAAGTGGAACACAGCATGCTGCTAAACTTTTTCGAAGGGGTTCTTTTGTTAGGGAAAAGTCAAGGATCAGGAGAGTGGATAGAAAGGTCAAAGCAATCTCTGCTTATTACCAGACGAATATTTCTAGACCCTTTGTAGCACACAGAAGTACCACATTTGTACAGAAATGAGGCCAATCAGGATATGGGTTCACCAAAATACAGCTTCCGTCATATCTCCCATTCAGCTGTCACATTCCTCAAGCAGCTGGAGAATGACATGAATGTTCATAGTATTTCATACAAACACAAACCAGTGAAATCACTGGATGCAGCACTTTTGAATATCTGTGCAACTGAACTGTTGAAATGGGCACTGGGAAACTGTAGCCATTGTACACTAGATAGAGTATGAAAAGCTTACAGAAAGGAGTGGTAAACTTTGGACATAACAGCCTCATGACAGAGTCTTTTGCAATGGAAACTATGCTGCAGAGCTATATTCAAGATGCACAGTTGTCAAAAGGAGGCAAGGCTCCAAAAATAATTTTAATACTACACACTCAACCCTCTGGAGAACATTTGTAGTTTATAAAATTGTTTTAAAACATCATAAAAAATACTATTAGCTCTCAAATAAAACAGTGTAGCTGATAGAATAGGAAATGTGTATCCTTTCTCTTGATATTTAAATGTCTATTCAAAACTTACGATGGTTTAGAAAAATTTGAAACATTTCATTTCCTTTATTTCATAACTACCTCAGAGATATTAAATATTCTCAAGCTACAGTTGGTTTCATTATATTAAGAAAAGTATGAAATATTTACAATAAAACAATATGTTAATTATTAAACTGTAATGCTGATGTGTTTATTTTTAAATTACTATTAAAATTTGCTTCAGAGGTTGATAGTGAGAAGAGACATAGCAATTCAAAGATACCATTATATTAACACTTTACGAACTTTATTTCATCATATAACAAACTACATAAATAGAAAGATGTATAACATACAATTCCTAAAATACTATAGATATATTTTATATAAACAGAATTTTGAACGTAATTAGAACAGATTTAACTAAGTATTTGAGTTTGTGAAATTTTAATTTTGTTTGCAGTTTACATTTATCTTCCACAAAAACTGAAAATGGTATCTTGAAATATTGCAAAAAAAATGAGCAGATTAGTAAATTAAAAGGTAACACATATAAATAATAAGATTCAAACCAAAATGCACTTAAGTCTCAACTAACAAAATAAATCCAGAGAGAACTCCAAATGTCAAAGGAAATATTTAATATTTCGTGGTAGTTATAATTTGTTATCTATCTAAACATTTCCATGAAATATCATCAACTTTTTAAAATAAAAATATACAAGGAAATGTAGAAACTACTTTATTACAGATCAAAAATAGTTGAAATACTAGGAAAAAGAAAAAATTAAATTAAGAAATGTTGTAATTGAAAGTAAACTGCTACTAAAAAATTTGTTACAACAACCTACCTCCTGTCTTTCATCACAACATTCAAAATAAAAAGGTGGAATGTATGTTTTTATTAAGATAATAGTAAAAGAGTTATATCAGAGCCTTTACTATTTAAAGTTTCAAGAATACCTGCACTGGATAAATAAATAAATATATATATAAAGCACCAAATTGTAAGGTTGTTTCTCAAGAAGTTATGCAGTTTGAAGTTTTTAAGTTGATACAACACAAACTATTTCTGAAATACTTGTAAATAACATAAATCACTTTTGGAAACTAATGCTAGTAAATCAACTGAGTTATCAACATATTTCTAAAGTTTATATAGGAATTGCCTTGTGTAAAAAACACTTCAAATCACCATACATAGGATGTTTCTAATGTGTTTTTTTTTTGTATGTCAGTAACAGAAGTAGTTGTTGCCTATGACATCAATAAATGCAGAATGTACAAAAAAAAGTCACAACTACATAAATTTTAACAGCTATTTACAAGCTCGATGCATGAAACCACATGACATTGTACACTTTTGGCACAGTGAACCCTAATGAAAAACATACTGCAATAAAAGAAATATTATATTCTTATTTAATTGAATGCTTAACCACTGATAAGGTTTTAAAACTTCATAATATCACACATCTTGAAGAGAAGAAATTTTAATCAATGCTGTGTACATTAATGTTTCCAAATATGAAAAAAAAGACCATGCATGACATATACAAACTTGTCATCAAAACTTAATGGTCAATGCAAAAGTTTTGTAGACAATGTTGATTTTCAACAAACTTGTTAAGATTTGAAAAAATAACTTCAATCCAAGACAGTAACTAAACTTTCATGTTCACAATTAATAGCTTGTTTTGAAAATGTCTGTAGAGAAAATACTTTAACTTTTCTAACTCACCCACCTTGCTGTATAATTTATGGTTATGAAAACATGTGGTTTTAAACTTTCAAACTCTGGTCTACCTAATAATAAAATGATTATTTAATGCAAAATATCATCATCAGAAAAATACTTTTTCATTTATCTCTTTTTAACAAAAGCAGAAACGTGTCTTACATTTGAAAATTAATTTAAGAATTTATATATACCAGTGATGTATGTTTCATTTGAAGAGTATTTTGTAGGCATTTATGAGACCCATAAATATTTAAAAGTTGTGGTTATGTAACAAAAAAATAAAACAAGTAAGTATATTACAGTATATTACTATTGTAGCATAAAACACAGTGCTAGGAGACATTTCTCTAAAGATTATAATACAAAGAACTATCTGAAGAACCTTGGTGAGGAATTTAATGCTAATATAAAATTATATAAAAATAATACTTTGGTTTAAAATCTATCACGAGTTGATTTTATAATTTTAATACTTCAGAGTATAGAAGTTTATTTCAAATTTAAGGTTTCAACTTAATAAAAGTACTTTCATATACTACTTAAATACTTTCAAAGAGAAAACAATTTCTAGTTTAGATGACTCAAAATATTTCTCAGATTCAAATTTAGACCTAGAACAATTATTTATTGTGCAGTTTATTTTCTTCTATTAACAACTGAAAACAAATTTTGAACTTCATTTAACTGATTTCTTAGGAAGTTTTTGATACTAGGCCTTGCTACGAACATTTCTATATACTGATACTAAAGCTTCATATGCTTAGACTAATACTGCTCAGGCAGTTTTACATCTTGTAGCCTGAAACTCGTAAATAATTAATATGAAAATGGACTACAACCAATTGGGAAAAAATTAAAAACCCGTATATCAAAATCAAACTACTTACCACAATGTGTTTGTTACATTATGGTACTTAGACTGTGTATTGTTATCATTATGAACATGATAAAAAATTTCCTGCCATATGTCGACACCATAAAGATAATTTATACATCAGATTATATATAGAATTAATATTAAAAAAAAGGAGTGAAAGCAATACTGGAATATATTAATGCTGGCATTTCCCCCAAGCAATAACCTCTCTTAATACTAGATTTATTAGTAGCAATATTATGTGATATATGAATCATTGCAGCATAAAAACCATATTTATCAATGAGAAAACAAACTAATATTTTTGTTTTCAGAATTACAATTTCCACTGCTCTCTAACTATATTAGGTGGATTACTGCACTATTAGCAAACTACTCACTCTAACATGCTTGATACTTTCAACAGCATAATTTTATATCTTCCCGTTTTCACTTCAACGTAAAATTTTAAAATCACTAAACAAAATATTTTTGAGAATGAAACTGAAAGAAAAGGAAAAATGTTAAAAAAAGTTATGTTTCTGCCTAAAAAACGTTATTACGGTCATGTAAAGTTAATTAGCAGGTTTTCATGTATGTGTGAGTGATTCTGTAATATGATTTTGTTTCTCCAATAAGTGACAAAAAATAATTTAGTATGATATTAGTAAACCGATGCCTATTAATCTAGCAAGTAAAAGGTTTGGTGACCTGAAGTTTTTTCTCTCTTTAGAATGCTTAATTGGACTCTCACTTGCATGAAACTATGCAATAAAATAGATGTTAAATTAAAATAATGCATGCTCATGTGGACTACCTCTTATTAAATACAAATCAGTTTTTATTATTATAAGCAATTATGACACATACTGTTAAGTTCAAAATGTCAATTAAAGACAAAACCCAAAAACCTAACTGCCTTCTAAAGTTGGGCATTTCTTCATCAGGAATAAACTGGGAATTCCAAATTTGCCCTGATGAAGAAATGTTCATCCCCTTAAAGCTCTCTAGATATAGGATTTCATATTTTTTTTATGCTTTTATATGTATACTAAGCTTTGGAGACCTAATACAGAATGAGTATAAAAGATGACTATAACTTACGCCTTCAGTGTTGATGACTTTCACATGCTACTGACTTCTATAATAATTCAATATTGAAATTATAAATACACATAAAATTCAGTGCACTTATTAACCATTTGTATATAATGATATACATAAATAATGCAATAAGAAATATTATGCATTTGAAAAACAACAGCTAATGTACATTTTCCCCCAATAAAAGAGCTAGAACTTAGGTCTTAATATCTAACATAAGTAGTTTAATATTTTACTCTACAAATATTTGGTTGTCTAGCTGTATGTGACTAGAAACTTAAAATCTGGTATTAAGGTAACCAAATGACCCAGCTGTAATCAAACTTATTTCAAACATCACAATTATACATTCATATAAAATTCATACTTTGGTTCAATATAATAATGCTTCAACACACCTGAGAACATTCTGAGATCAATGCTGGATCTCAAATTTTCTTTCAGGGGTGGTCCCATAATCACATATAAACTAATCAGTGATACCTTAAAGTCAGGTCCCTTGCAACACTTATCAATTTAACTGACTACACTAATTCATATTTTTCTTTTATAATGAATGAATGAATGCTCTGTACATAACAACCATTCTTTACAAAGCCCCTTCTTCTTTATGGAAATATCTCATGGTAAATCTTTGACAGAGATTTACGCCCTGACTTTGATTCAAGTTACTAAAGAAGCACCACACCACATTACTTAACAACAGAAAAGTAATCAGTGAACCTTCATGAAACTTTTGCTAAACCAGATAAATTATCAAAATACATTAAAAGCATAGCATTACAAAAGAATACTAGAAATACATCTTTACAGCTAGTTAACATTTTTATAGTATTACCTTATTATACACCTTACACAATCCAGTGAGATTGATTAATTCCTACAACTTCTTGCTCATCAAGAAATTTAAAGAAATCACATTATTAAGGTAGGAGATTCTTGCAGTTCAAAGCAGGGAAGATACTAGTTGCAGCTGATGTGACATAACCTGCAAGTCTGTCTGAGATTTGAAAAACAAATTTTTAACTTTTGAGATTCTTTTATACCTTAACATACTGCAAGAAATCAAAATTCAAACATCAATTCTTAATCTTGTGTTTCATGTACTGCTATTTCAGATTGTGCTAAAGATAACCTTACTATCACACCTAAGTTAATTTACTAATGTAATTTTACATAACTGAAACAGCCTCGAAACACTATTCTAATTGAAAATCATAAATTATATTCAACGTTAACAATTAAAAACATTTTATTTAGACCTATCTATGGCCTTCAAAAAGTTGACGACTCTACATGTTTCGACGTTACAACATCATGTTTTTAATTGTGTACCAGTTTAACGTTGAATATTATTTATGATTTTAACTTTATACACAAGTGGCAAAATACTATAACTATTCTAACTTCTTTGTCTAAATATTGGTGTAGGGCTGCTATCAATTTACTACAAGTTATCATGTGAAGGATGAAATAAAACAGTAACTTAATAGGATGTTAAAAAGTGTAAGTTTAGGTTCTTAAAGATGTTGAAACTATACATCATGTACAAAAACTGAAAGGCTAAAATGGTATAAAATATTGTAGGGAAAGTAATATCAGTCACTATTTTGGCTGAATATAAGAGAAAAATAGAAGTTATTGAATTAAATGATGGAATATCACTGCATGTTTTTCAGTTCTTTACTATTATTTAAATTCTAATCAAGTATATGAATGAAGATTATTAAATGCAAATCTCTAGGAATAACAAACAAAACTCATGAAAAATATACAAACCTGCAAGTCTGTCCAAGATTTGTGTTTTACACAATTTTTTATATAAATTAGTCTTTCAGTCTGAAAGCATGTGAACAAAGCTGGTTGGAAAAAGACCTCTTCTACTGGGCTGTCCCTGAATCATACCTTCCATCCAGTCATCATCTTTCGTTCTTTCTCGAAGCACTATGATGATTTCACCTTTTTTGAATGATAGCTCATCTTCTTCATCACCCTCACAATCATAGAGTGTTTGACAACGACGTGGCTTAATCAGATCAGGCCGCTTGAAGATAAATATTTGACACAGAAAGTTCATATACTGATCATTGCTATGTACAAAGGTTTTTGTTATATAATTGCATTTTGCCACATGTATATTTTTTCTATTTCTTTAAAAAATATAGATTGTTTGAGAGTAAAATATTAAAGGTTAATATTTCAAATAGAAGTAAAATTCAGATAGAACTGCTGTAATCTCTTCCTGATAACACTATTATATCTTTTTGTTTTCAAAGTGAAAATACTTATAAAATTTCATAGATCTTGGTAAAAACTTTCTAAATAATCTAATTTCTATATGAAAAAAATCATAAATTTTGATTTAGTATTTGTATATTAGTATTAGTATATTTGTAGGTTGGGAAAATTTGAAGTTTTCTTGAGAAACACAGTTTGACACAACAAAAAATACTTCCTTTTCTCTTAGAATTTAAAGTTTTACCTAAAAGTAATAATGCACAGATGGTTAAAGAATTAGCAAAACATAAAAACCTAAAACTAGTCAAAAGATCAAGCTTGTTTTTCTTAAGGGTCCCGAAAGTGTTAAATTATTGAAGTTTTACAGTGTGTTCCACTAGTAATACTGGAAATTAAATATTTTCAGTATCAAAAAATATATATCTGTATTTAATGATTGATAAAACTATGCTTCCTTAAAAATATATATCTGTATTTAATGATATATAAAACTAAGCTTCCTTTTAATCCTCTACATGACAACCTACTTTTCTGGGAAGTGGAACAGGTGGCTGGTCAATTAACTGTAATTGACCACTGCTGGAAACACTTGTAGACAGACTTTCTGTAGAACTGCCACTGTTTAGTCCTGTCTTACAATGTTGATTGGCCAAAGCTGTATAGTTTCATAAAGAGAAGTCAAAATCTATTAAAAAACTGGTATTCAATTCTGTTGATTGGCTATGGTTGTACAGTTCCAAAAAGGAAAAAAATCTTTCTATCTGTAGTTTGCATCCTACTCTGTTGGTTAATTATTTTTGTATTTATCATTTATTTATTGGCTAAACAATAAAATCCATGAATTAAAAAACAATTGCTTGATTAAGTTTGTACAATTCCATGAATACAAAAACAATGTCATTTATAAGCTATTAATACTGTATTCTGTTTATTAGCTAAAGTTCTTTGATTCAATGAATGGAAAAACAATCATTGATTAGCATTCATGTGCAAAGTTTTTTGTTTTTCAAGAACCAAGATTTGTGTACTACTCAGTCTAAGCATTAAACAGTAACTTGTTAATTGCATTTCATGACTTTTTAAAAGATACATTCAAGATTTAATTAAAATACTTTATTAGCAATGTATGTCAGTAAACATAACACTAAAACACAGTTTACAGTTCAAAGTTTAATACCTATTTCTAATTTTTAAAAGAAAATATTTAAAGCATTCTAATTCTTCACTTCCCTGTGTCACGTGACCCTCTGCTCTCTGAAATGTCATTCTTAGATTTTCTTTCTTCCCTTTTAGGTTTCAGAAATACACCAATTAAATAAACAAACTATATTTTACTGGCAGATCAGGAAGTAAAATACGAACCTCCCATTTTCTGAGACATCAATAAACTTATTACACCTACCATAGAAGCTGATACAACTCATCATGCTTTTGAAATCACTTATTTGCTCATGCCTACTTGTCAATGGTGCATGTTTATTACTAAAAGGAAGGCCAATTTATGATCTTTGTAATTCTGAAAATAGTCTGTTTTGTTTTCACAGTGAAAACTATCATTTTGTAAACAAATCTTGATGTATGTATACTAAACTCAGTGATCTGAAGAATAATGGAAATTTTATAACCTACATTAGTTAGAAAGCCGGATAACTTATAGTCATTTGGGGGGTATTCTATTTTAGTGCTTAATATATTTTTGTTGTTAAACATGCATGTGAAAGTTACATATTTCTTGAACAATGACCAGTTAGAAAAAAAGCTTAAGAAAGCAGGTACCCCAAGTGTAAACTGGCCTAGGGATAAACTTGTTTTTTACATATATCTTATATTTATTGTTATATACTTTTTAATAAAAGTCACTAAAATTCTGAAATCAAAAACTTGTTAGATTATACAAAAAAACTTAAGTTACAAAAATTAAGTAAAAAAATCTTTCATGACCACCACTCAAGGAATGAATGACATCAAGTTACATCAGATACACTGTCTAAAAATGGTTTTGCACCTTAGTTTTGGATTTCTCCATATTTCAAGACTTTCACACAGTTATGTGTCGTATCATGTTTTATTGTGCAAATAGTAAATCTAGAACTGTTTCAGAGTGAACATTTTTCTTCAGAACACAAAACTACAAGGTTTCTAATAATACCCTATCCAAATGTTTTCAGACAACCTTTAATAGTTAGTCAATATTAATTTTTGTGTTATGTTCTTGTGTATGCTAAGCAGAAAGGTTTTACATGCAAGAAAATAGGGAATGAAATTTTAACTTGAATCAGCTGCATGAAATTGCATTGAGGCTTGTTACTCTAGGAAAGTGAGAATTATATGTGAGATAATAAATTTACACTCCAAAAGGTATGGGAGAGTTTAAAAAAAAAACTTTACCAACAGTAAACTAATGGAAGTCATCTCCTAGATGATACATAGTAGTTAACTTACCAGGAGGTACTGGAGGTGGGGGAGCTTTTGGTCTCCGTAGAGAGCTATACAGCTGTGATGACCGCCTCTCAAAAGTGCTATAAAGACAGAACAATACAGTCAAGACAATATAGGTTTGCTATTGAACAAATATAAACAGACATTAGACACATTGTATTCTAAGATGTTTTACTGAAGAGTTGTGTAAAAAACATTAAAAGTTGTCCATTGGTTTGCTGCCACTTAAAATGCAGAAACTGAAAAATGACAAGTCAAAAGGTTTAGTAAATACTTGTTTGACTAAAAAGTTTTTCAAACAATGCATTCTTAAAATGTCTTAAAGACTTATTTAAATAATATATAAGCATTATAAATATAAATTTTCTTTTATATTTAATCACACACACAGTAATAATTAAATATCAATTTCACTTTTTCCTTGTTCATGTAAATTAGAGTGAATATCTGGCATCTTACACATGTGTAGCCTCACAACTTAGTGGTTTAACTTTATGGACCCAAGATTGTTTTTGCCAGGTACCAAATATACAATTCCTAAACAATATTTTATCTCAATAATTTTGGTTAAATGAGTAATTAAAAGAAACATTTTAGATCAACCTTACCTTTTGGCTATTTGGGTTTCTGTTGGTTTTGGGGGTAGGACTTTGCTGCTTATTCCTAAAATATGATGGACAGATCATTCCTGAATGATACTAAGTCAAATAAAGCACACTAATAGTAACATACACACATGTATACACATGTGTGAGAAAAATACTATTTTTTGTTTTAAAATGAGACTGGATAACATAAAACATTTTATCAAATTGCTATTACATATCTAAACATAAAATGTGCATGGTAAAATAATGAACCAAAAATTATATCAATATTCACATTTTTTCTATATCATCTAACAGAAAGCATTGGAAACACTCATCATAACTTAAAGTTAACATATCCTTTCAAAAGCTGACTCACTAATTTTATCACACCTGTTACAAGTAAAAGTACTTTTAGGATTAGTAAATGCTTTGTCAGAGTTATTTTCACTCTTTCACTGCCATGTCTATAGATAACTCCTGCATGAATCCCTTATTTTACTAGTATTAAGCATATACTCTAAGAAACAAATACTTCAGTGTGAAATGTTTACCCTAAGTTGTTAAAGCATTTTGTACCTGGAAAAGAACCAACATACTGTCAGGAAATACTGTACGAATCCCTGACCTTCCTAGTATAGCAAACATCTACTCTAAGAAATAAATACCTCCATAACTTTGTTAAAACATCTCATTATCTTTACTACACAAAAAATAAAAGAATTCAATAAATTTATAAATCACAAAACAGCATACAGTTTCATCAATAGGTATACTTAGCATTCATCATGTTTTTGAATCTAATAATAAGACTCGAGTGTGATCTCTAGTCTCACACACTTAAACTTATATTTGATTTTGGTATTTAACCCAGACAAACCTCAACTTAAAACACTAGCTAGAAAAATAACTAATACACTTACCATTTTGTGGTTCAGCTGCTGCAGTTCCTAGGTTACTTTTCCCATAAACAATGTTATCATTTGTAGAAACTTTGATCTCTGTTGTGGATACTGTCAGTACTTTTTTATTATCCTTTCCACTAGGAGGCACTGTACAAGGTTCAGGATTAGACTGTCTACGAACATGACCTTTCACTCCTAATGAGGAAGTTGGAGGAACAGGTGGGGGTCGTGGTGCTGTTCGCTTCTTTATACTTCCATATGAGACTAGGCCTAGAAAAGATCAAATGTTAATACAATTAAAGATTATTATTGTTACTTTTAGTATAGTTATTCTTACGCAATGTTTTACTTATGTGACCTATATATCCTTTAAAATTACACATTTTTCTAAACTTTTATGCACCAAGTTGCTTTGTTGGTTATATGGTCCCCAATGGCTCATGTCCCACAAATTAAATGACCCCTACCTATGTATTTTCCCAAAAAATTACTTTTAATATATCATGCAACATAAGAACAAATTTGTAATTTAAAGGTTAAAAAAAGCAACATCTATCAACTTGACTCACAAAGAAATAATTCAATTTTTTCATTTACAGTTCTATTCCAATGCATAAAAAACAGTTTTAGTAAAATGGTAATTTAATAGAAATTTTCAAGTGATGTTTTTCTATTCAAACCACCACATAATTTTTCTTCTAGTATTACTAAATAAAACGTTCAGATGATCATGCTTAATTACTGCCTCATAAAAAAATCATTCCTGTTAAATCCTTTCATAACTATTAGATTTTTTTCTGAATATTACTATGTAAATATACTAAATTCTTTTTATAGGTCTAAAATAGTCACCTTTTTAGATACTTTCTTGGGACATCAGTCAATTATTTTACCCTTTTGTTCTCAGAATACAATTGCATTACCAAAATTTCAGTCAATATATGACTAACTGAACTAGCATTTAACCCTCATTTGCTGACTCACACACAAAATTTTATTGAACTACTATTTCATGAATTTATGTCAATTAGTTTGGTATCAAACTGTAAATTACAATTCAAATTTTAGTAATATACATTACACAATTTCTTAATTTAAAAGCAAGTATTAAAAAAACACACAGATAAACATCAATTTCAGTGTGTCACGTCGTATGTTGAATGCAGCACTGGTGCAAGTTAGATGTTTGTGAAGTCAAAATAATTTGGAACAAACTAAAACTCAAATTACCAATATTGACAGCTCGAATATAAAATAAGAGCCTCTTATTTTTTCAATTTGCTAAGATATTGCTCACGTAATAAATCAAAGACAGTGGCACCCCACCCACCCCTTTCCATTTTTAGAAACTCTCCCTCATATACACTTAATTCTATATATGACATGAATAATTGATCAGAAGTTCAGAATGTCCCCCTAGTGACTTTCTCAGCCATTTTAATGGACTTGACGCAACTTCTTTCTTTTGAACCAATATTTCAATGAGGTAAGATTTGTCTTTAGTCTGCTCAAAATTTCATATTTTTTTAGACTAAAATACATCTTATCTAAGCTTGATAAATTATAGTGGAATTCTATGGTATTAATGTAATAATTTATGATT